ACAGTGAAAGCACCTGAGTGAAGTTGGCCCCTACCCCACGCAAAACTCAGTGAAAAATAGCCACACTCGTTAGTGCTGGTTTGTGCAGAAAAAATATCGTTTGTGCTGTTTTGGTTTTTCAGGTATGACAACTTTATATTAATATAGCCTATATATATATATAATATGATATGACAAATAAATAAATAAATATGTATGTATGTATGTATGTATGTATGTATGTATGTATGTATGTATGTATGTATGTATGTATGTATGTATGTATGTATGTATGTATGTATGTATGTATGTATGTATGTATGTATGTATGTATGTATGTATATATACACATGATAGATAAATGTATTTATATATATATATAGGCTATATATATATATATATATATATATATATATATATATATATATATGCCTATATATATATATATATATATATATAGCCTATATATATATATATATATATATATATATATATATAGCCTATATATATATATATATATAGCCTATATATATATATATATATATATATATATATAAATACATTTATCTATCATGTGTATATATACATGTATTCCCTCAGTGTTAAACAGGGGAAACGCGTCCTTATGGCCAAATTACCCCCGTCAGATACCGTTCCCCCTGTGTTAAACGGGGGAAACGCATCCTGATGGCCAAATAACCCCCGTCAGATACCGTTCCCCCTGTGTTAAACGGGGGAAACACATCCTGATGGCCAAATAACCCCCATCAAATACCGTTCCCTCAGTTTTAAACAGGGGAAACGCATCCTGATGGCCAAATAACCCCCATCAAATACCGTTCCCTCAGTTTTAAACAGGGGAAACGCATCCTGATGGCCAAATAACCCCCGTCAGATACCGTTCCCTCAGTTTTAAACAGGGGAAACGGTATCTGACGGCCAAATTACCCCCGTCAGATACCGTTCTCCCTGTGTTATTTTTTAAAACTGGACACAAAAAACACAACCTCGAATCAAAATGCACATTTTTCAAAACACAATTTTCAATTGCTTGGATACAACACTAACAATGCAAAGATCACTGGATCATTTGACTTTGATCAACCTTTCAATAGGATACATCTAAACATCAAAGTGCCATTTTTACAAAAAAACTGAGTTTCACACCTTTAATATTGGAGGACCATTGGTTCATCCATTAAATTCATCTTTCTGCTATTTGATAACACCTCAATCTATTGAAATGAATGGGAAAAACAATCAGAGTAATGTAAAGACACATTTTTTCCACAGTAAAGTCCTCCACTGTTGTAAAGTGACAGTACCACTCACAGGAAGAACAGGATGTTACGGTAATTAGCAGTAACCTACATATTCTTCTGGTTTCCCTGGTCTTGATAGAGTAAGTCTTCACAGTGAACTGTAAAGGGTATAGGTTGTCAATTTACAGCACACAATGTGTTTATGTAGTGCTTTACATACATAGTATTTTCCAAATACTTTCTCAAGCAGTACAGTAGGCCTGCACTCTTACAGGCTGTAATCACTTCGTTGGGTTGGGTGTTTGCTACAGATAGACTGAGAGCAAGCAGGTGCAATGCTCATGTGACAGTTGATGGGTCCTGCCACTATGCCTCTGAGTGATCATGTGCCCTGGCTACTTAGCTACAGATACAGTGCCTAGCGAAAGTATTCGGCCCCCTTGAACTTTTCAACCTTTTGCCACATTTCAGGCTTCAAACATTAAGACATAAAACTGTAATTTTTTGTGAAGAATCAACAACAAGTGGGACACAATCATGAAGTGAAACGAAATTTATTGGATATTTCAAACATTTTTAACAAATAAAGAACTGAAAATTGGGCGTGCAAAATTATTCAGCCCCTTTACTTTCAGTGCAGCAAACTCTCTCCAAAAGTTCAGTGAGGATCTCTGAATGATCAAATGTTGACCTAAATGACTAATGATGATAAATAGAATCCACCTGTGTGTAATCAAGTCTCCGTATAAATGCACCTGCTCTGTGATAGTCTCAGAGTTCAGTTTAAAGCGCAGAGAGCATCATGAAGAACAAGGAACACACCAGGCAGGTCCCAGATACTGTTGTGGAGAAGTTTAAAGCCGGATTTGGATACAAAAAGATTTCCCAAGCTTTAAAGATCCCAAGGAGCACCGTGCAAGCGATAATATTGAAATGGAAGGAGTATCAGACCACTGCAAATCTACAAAGACCCGGCCTTTCCTCTAAACTTTCAGCTCATACAAGGATAAAACTGATCAGAGATGCTGCCAAGAGGCCCATGATCACTCTGAATGAACTGCAGAAATGTACAGCTGAGGTGGGAGACTCTGTCCACAGGACAACAATCAGTCGTATACTGCACAACTCTGGCCTTTATGGAAGAGTGGCAAGAAGTAAGCCATTGTAAAATTGAAAATTGTGTTTTGAAAAATGTGCATTTTGATTCGAGGTTGTGTTTTTTGTGTCCAGTTTTAAAAAATAACACAGGGGGAACGGTATCTGACGGGGGTAATTTGGCCGTCAGATACCGTTTCCCCCGTTTAAAACTGAGGGAACGGTATCTGACGGGGGTTATTTGGCCATCAGGATGCGTTTCCCCTGTTTAAAACTGAGGGAACGGTATTTGATGGGGGTTATTTGGCCATCAGGATGTGTTTCCCCCGTTTAACACAGGGGGAACGGTATCTGACGGGGGTTATTTGGCCATCAGGATGCGTTTCCCCTGTTTAAAACTGAGGGAATACATGTATATATACACATGATAGATAAATGTATTTATATATATATATTTGTGAATATATATATCTATATATATATATATAGCCTATATATATATATAATATATATATATATATAGGCTATATATATATATACATTTTACATTTTACATTTGTTTTTATCTTTAATCTTTTTAATGCGCTATGATTATTTATGATTATTTATGATTGTAATCCCTTGTGTGATTTTAATTTTTTACGGTTTTTAACTACTTGTGTGATTTTATATATCTTGTGCTCTTAATCTGTCTTTTTATGTTTACTTAAATTCTAATGTTTGATGATTTATGCATGATGTTATATGGGTTGTGAGGCGCTTTGCGTTGCCTTGTGTAGGAAAGGCGCTCTATAAATAAACGTTGATTGATTGATTGATATATATATATATATATATATATATATATATATATATATATATATGGCTATATATATAGGCTATATATATATATATAGGCTATAATATATATATATATACATATTTATTTATTTGTCATATCATATTATATATATATATAGGCTATATTAATATAAAGTTGTCATACCTGAAAAACCAAAACAGCACAAACGATATTTTTTCTGCACAAACCAGCACTAACGAGTGTGGCTATTTTTTTCACTGAGTTTTGCGTGGGGTAGGGGCCAACTTCACTCAGGTGCTTTCACTGTGTCTGTAGTTGCCTCGCCGCGCAAGCACGGCTCGCTGGTTACGAGTGCTGAACAAGCACGCGCACTATTTGCCGCGTGCGAGGCGCGGAGCGGGGCGGAGCGGCGAGTAGACGCAGGGGAAACAGTATCTGACGGGGAAACGCGGCTCGACGTAACACCGGTACGGTGTGGTCCCGTCGTGTTGTCCCTTGTCTTCTGGCGCTGTGGGTAAGTATGAGATCCGCGGACGGTTTATTCCCCTCGCATTGTACTGCAGGCTCAGTTGGCCCCGTGCTGGTGGGCAGGCTTCAGTTTAAAGCCCTCGCATTGGTCTGCAGGCTCTCTTTAACCAAGCTCCGTTAAATCTTCACTCTGACTGCAAGCTCCGTTTAATCCCTCACATTGGACTGCAAGACCTCAGTTTAATCCCTCTCATTGGACCGCATGCTCTCAGTTTTAATCCCTCACTTTGGCCTGCAGGCTCTGTTTAAATCCCTCTCTGGACTGCAAGCGCTGTTTAAATCCCTCACATTGGACCGCATGCTCTCAGTTTTAATCCCTCACTTTGGCCTGCAGGCTCTGTTTAAATCCCTCCCTGGACTACGAGCTCTGTTTAAATCCCTCTCTTTGGACTGCAAGCGCTGTTTAAATCTCTCTCGGACTGCGGCTCCCAAAATGAATCCCTTACATTGGTCTGTGAGCTCTCAGGTTAATCCCTCACGGAACTGTTATATCTGGAAATGCCTATATCTGGAAATGCCTATATCTGGAAATGCCAATATCTGGAAATGCCTATATCTAGAAATGTATATCGGAACTACTTATATCTGGAACTGTTGTACCGTATCTGGAACTGCTTCATATGGAACTGCTTATATATGGAACCGCTATATTGGAACTGCTCATATGGTACGGTTATACCTGGAACTGTTATGCAGTACATGGAACTGCATATATGGTACTGCCTATATCTGGAACGCTATATTTTAAAAATAAATAAATGAATAAATAAATACTATAAATAAACATATATAAATAATTATAAATAAATATAAATAAATATAAATAAATAAAAATAAATATAAATAAATATAAATAAACATAAATAAATATAAATAAATATAAATAAATTTAAATAAATAAATGAATAAAAAAAAAAAATAAAAAAAAAAATAGTTTAAACTCCTCACTTGGACTGCGGGCTCAGTTAATCCCTCACTTGGACCGTAAAACTGTTAAATCACTTGAACCGTAAAAAAAAAAAAAAAAAAAAAAAAACCTGTTGAAATCCCTCACACTGAACAGCTACAACAACATTCTACTGACGTGGCTTTGATACGGGATCATTGCTGTTATTATCTACGGACGCTGCAGCTGCTGCTGCTGCTACTGCTGCTGCTGCTTCATACGGCTACTACTGCTGCTGCTGCTGCTCCATTTGCTACTGCGCTACTACTGCTGCTTCATTTCCTTGCCATCTCTCTTCACTTGCATCTCTTTTACTGAAACACTGATCAGCTACGACAACATTCTACTGCTGTGGCTTGATACAGGATTATTACTGTAATCTCTAAGGATGCTGCTGCTGCTGCTGCTGCTGCTGCCGCGGCTTGATACAGGTTATCGCTGTTATTATCTGAGGTACTGCTGCTGCCGCTGCTGCTACCGCTACTGCTGCAACCCACTCTCTCAGAAGCTTATCCTGTTTCTAATGGATGCTGCCCGGCTGAGTATGCCGCGCCGCGCCGGACTCGCACCTATGCTCCCAGGGTCGCTTCGGCGGTCATGCTTCATCTCTCTACCTCATCTTCTGATTCTCAGATGCAGCTGGCCGAGTAGCTGCGCTGAGCCGTCAATCGGACTCCTAATCAAAGGCATCCATACCTGTGTTCTTCACTCTTCTGATCGCAGGCTCCCCATCACGCTGCCCATCCTGCAGCGGCTCTGAGCGGCACTGAACTCCGGCTCATCTCCCAAGTACATGTCTGTCCTCCTCGCAGCATCTTCCTGCTCTCCTTCTGTGGCTTCTCTGCATAAGCGTTCACTACTGCTCGCTCAACCTTCATGCGGTCCGAGACGCGGCTTCCCGACCATCCTACCATCCTGATCATCTACTCTCCAACCCAAGATTCTAAGCGTAAGGGCGCCTGCAACATCAATGGCCCTCTCCGATATGTCTCTGCCCCTACAGGTCTCCGCTTCTACACGGACGCTGCCCCTTCCGTGGGTTTTGGGGGATTCTTCCAGGACCATTGGGTTGCCGGGCCGTGGCCGCTACTTCCACCGGAGCATCTCCTCTGCCCTACACGAGATATTCCCAGTGGTCGTGGCTGCGCGCTGCGGAATCACACGTGGCAGAGAAAGAGGATCTCTGTCATGCGCGATAATCTCGACGTAGTGGAAGCATCACACAAAGGTCGCTCTTTTTCACCCAACATAATGTCCCCTGACCCTTTCAACCTTCATCTCAAACATTCAAAGACCAAGGCGCCTGCAACATAATAATAGCTCGCTCCGACACATCTCTCTCCAGACAACCTTCCCATGACAGCAACCTGGTTCAGAGCTCAACTAAGATCCCTACTGCTCCTCTGCAATTTGTCTCCCCAGCTCCATACAGCCCATTCCTTCAGGATAGGCGCTGCCACGCGCGCGGCCTCGCTGGGGCTCCCCCACCTCTCCAACAGCTGGGGTGCTGGTTCTCTTCGGCTTTCTCCGCCTACATCAGCCCAGACGCGTCCGCCATCCTGGCTGCACAACGCCTACTGACTTCCTCGTAAGCTCCCAGCAAAGCAATACAAAGCAAAGTAAGTGAAGCAATAAGATTCTGGTGGCGGCACGCACTTTCTCAAACACTCTCCGCTGCCGCAGCGTCTGACGGAACGTGATGCGAGCGCTCACGTTCCCAGCACGCAAAAATAACCCATGATGCATTACACTCGCCTCCGCTCTCGGAAAGGAGATCTCAACGGACCGTTATTTTTCACCCCCGATCACCTCCCAACGTCATCCAACGGGTTCAGAGCCCAACTAAAGTCCGTACTGCTGCTTTGTAACCTGTCTCCCCATCTCTACGCAGCTCACTCCTTCCGGATAGGCGCCGCCAGCAGCCGAGTATCCGCAAGTATTGATCACAGTAGATAGCGGTCACAGCATATAGCGATAGTGGTCACAGCATATAGCGATAGCGGTCACAGCATATAGCGATAGCGGTCACAGCATATAGCGATAGCGGTCACAGCATATAGCGATAGCGGTCACAGCATATAGCGATAGCGGTCACAGCATATAGCGATAGCGGTCACAGCATATAGCGATAGCGGTCACAGCATATAGCAAAAAATGGTTAGCAGCATTGCGCTGGCGGTCACAGCATAGCGATAGCGGTCACAGCATATAGCGATAGCGGTCACAGCATATAGCGATAGCGGTCACAGCATATAGCGATAGCGGTCATAGCATATAGCGATAGCGGTCACAGCATATAGCGATAGCGGTCACAGCATATAGCGATAGCGGTCACAGCATATAGCGATAGCGGTCACAGCATATAGCGATAGCGGTCACAGCATATAGCGATAGCGGTCATAGCATATAGCGATAGCGGTCATAGCATATAGCGATAGCGGTCACAGCATATAGCGATAGCGGTCACAGCATATAGCGATAGCGGTCACAGCATATAGCGATAGCGGTCACAGCATATAGCGATAGCGGTCACAGCTTAGCAATAGCGGTCACAGAATAGAGCAGTCACGACGTCTGTCCCCTCCAAACCAGGCTTCAAAAACTCCATCAACACGCAGCCTTTTTGGGGATTGTGCGCGCTCCAGCGCAGGAGCCTTTCCGATCCGAAGGCCGCACCGGGACCTAGGGCGCCAAACCTCCTTTCATAAAATACTCAACTTCCTGTTTCTCGTCTCTCCAAATTGAAATGCAGCCAGCGAAAGTTCAATTTGGTAGACGTTAACCAAATTTACCCCTCCAGGCCGGCTCTCATCCCCAGCCTATCGCTCAGCAGACGCCCCCTTCCAATCATCTGTACCGACTCGCAGCCGCATAAAAACGGAGCAACGCCCACTACCGGCCTCCTGAAGCCTCGCAACCACCGCCTCCCCTCCTCCTCCTCCTCTTCACCCTGCCTCCAATCTGCCTTCAATTTTCTTCCCGCTGCCAAATGCCGCCACCAGTGCCTAGGTCCCGGGGGATTGTGCGCGCTCATCGCAGGAGCCTTTCCGATCCGAAGGCCGCACCGGGACCTAGGGCGCCAAACCTTCTTTCATAAAATACTCAACTTCCTGTTTCTCGTCTCTCCAAATTGAACTACAGTAACTACAAAACCCGCCTCCCGCGCTCTCTGATTGGTTGGTCGAAATTCAACCGATGGACCAGACCCAGACGTTACATGCAGGGAAGTGAAGGGCTGGAAAGTCTTGTCCCAGAAGCACTTCCGGTTCATTGCTCGGATACAAACAAACCGTCAGCTGTTTGAAGAGGCTGTTTAAGTGAATGGTGCAAAATGCTCTGCTTTATTTTCGGCTGTTATCATCAAAGTTTACATGAAGCATGCTCATTTTTTAGGTTTCCCAAAGACCAACTGAAGCTGTGTAAAAAGCTATGCAGTTGTGATAAAACATTTTGTCTGATTTTACAGATGGTTAACTTGAACATGTATTCAAGCTAACTTGTAGCTAATGCTAACCTGTAGTGCGCTGCCGAGCCTTTCATTGTGGCTTGTATTTTAAGATAAGATTAACTTTATTGTTGTCACACAGGATACATTTATTTATTTATTTGAGAGATAAAGGAGGAACATATTAGCACATATTAAATAACATAACATATGTTCAAATATAACAGAAAACGGACAATCATAATATTAGTAGTAAATGAATAGGTAACCCAACTAGGCCTGTCGCGATAGTCAATAAATCAATTAATCGCACGATAAATAAAATTTGCTCAATAACTTTTCTGGCCGCGATAAATCCCATTTGCATGCTTGTTTGTTTCCCCAGTCTCTCTCGTCAGAGAGCCGCAAAGTGGTCACGGGAACATTAGCGGTCTAGCAAGCAGACGGAAATTACTCAAAAATACAAAATACAGCCAAAACAGGACCTAAACCAGGACTTAACCAGGATTGACAATGGGGGACACAGTAGTTGTGAACATATGCCGGCAGCTGAGTTCTCATTCAGGCTTGATTAGTGACTATACTAGCGCAGCTAGCATTAGCGTGTTCGCCGATGCAGAAGTACCGTACCATACCAATAAAATAAACTTATGGCGCACCTCCGTGAACACATACTGCTGTTATATAAAGTCTCTAGAAGGTCTCTGAACACAGAGATGCTGCAGACTTGCATTCTTGGAGTAGAACTTTACACAAAAAACCCGCTAGCTTAGCTGTTAGCATCAAAGCCCGCCCCGCTACTTCCGGTGGGCGCTACCGCAGCAGGACTTCTGTACGCCCCATTGGTGAACCCACATGTCAGTCACTTGTCATTCGCCTGGTGTGTGGGGAGGTGGGACTACTCCTGAGAGATCCTGTCTTAAGCCACACAAAGTCAACATATTGGTATTTCTTTCTCGTAATCTGCCATAAAGTCTGAGAAATTATTGACATTTGAGGCATCTGTTTCATATTTTCTTTACAAAGGTCCTGGCAGTTTTATTCCTGGTCATTTTTTGTTAAGAGACTGAGTCTATTTTATTTATTGTTTTTGGTTGTTTGTTAATTTATTGTGTTCTAGCGTTAAATATTCGTTAAAAATAAAAGTCTATTTCTCTTTGAAAAGGTGTACCTGCATTATCATTGTAATCGATGCAAATGATCTCAAAACGACAATATAATCGCAATAATTTCGCAATAATTTCTGAGACAATTAATCGTCCAGCAAAATTTGTTATCGTGACAGGCCTAAACCCAACTACATCATGTTATTTTTGGCAGCACAGCAAAAAGAAAAAAGGCCCAATGTGAAGCTGCAGTGAGTGTGAAGTGGAGATGGAGCTGATGTACGGATAGAAAACTGATCATTCATAAACATTGGCTCATAACCAACGCAGCAAAGCTAGCTGTAAGGGACATCAATGTATTTGCATGGGAATAGTGTTTCTATATTGTCTTTCTGATGCATAATAGTGGATTAAAAAACAATAAGTTTGAACACGGCCCTGCATCTTTCTCATCTCCCCGTCATAAACTTCAGGACATGGTCAGTTCACAGCTAACTCCGACCGCTCACTCAGTTTTTCTGTCCCAGAGACGAAATGTGTCCAAAATAACACAGGAAAGTCCTTTAAGGAGGAAGAAGTCGGCGATCTCAGCACCATACAAGTGGCACGTGTGGTTTGTTTGTATCCGCGGGTGGAAATCTCGCAAAATCTCGCACTTCCGCTTTCCATTCCTATTGAGCGGAGTGTACGGATGGATAAGGCCAGGCTAGTTTGTTACCAGTGACACAAAGTAAGTGTATTTACAATAATAAATAATGATAATGAATAATACAATCCAAAGTCTTTTATTTGATTTGTTCATTTCTAAATCCTAGAGGGTAAGTGTTAAATATTTAGTGAGAGATTCTGTCGGGTTAAAGCTTGAGATGTTGAGGATTTTGACATAAAACTTGGTGTTTTTGTTTCTGCCGTTCAGGTGTGAAGCTGAAACATCCTGGAGCCAAAATCAGACTCATAATTGTGGAGAAACGAGATGAATGAATGAAATGAAATGATTTTTTTTACTGCTTATGCTCGGGTGATGATGGGAGTGTGTTGTGTCCTTTGGCAAGACACTTCACCACATGGTTTTATCTGAAGGATTTTATCTTTACTCTTGAATACACTGTAGCTATTCATGATCTTAATCCCATGTGTGGTTTTAATGTCTTTTATTACTTGTATAACTTTTTTTCTATGTTTTTAATATTTCTTGTGATGTTTTTGTGGGATTTTTATTGTATTTTTTAATGATTTATGCCTGATGTGATGTGGGTTGTGAGGCGCTTTGTGTTGCCTTGTCTTGTGCATGTGTAAACGGTTGGTGGTGGTCGGCGGGGCTGATCGTTGCCTCTCTTCTGTCAGTGTGACCCAGGGCAGATGTGGCTACAGTAGTAGTTTATCTCCTCTGTGTGTGGAGATTGATGCTTTGAGTGAAGTTGATGCATAAAAAGACACATTCTTGAGACTTCAGTTTCAGTTCAGTTTCAGTTTATTTTTTTGCCATTTGCAGTAAAAACACCACATTGGAATACATTAGCAAAAAGTCTCCAGTGTGCACAGACAAATACAGACATAAAACAACATTAAAAGGGAGAAATAAAACAAATAAAACAGTAAACAAATGTCACTGTGAAATCGATCGACTAAAACAGTTTCAAAACAAGTGCAAATCATTAAAGTGCTCTGTTCAGACTGATAACAGCCTGTGGATAAATCCGAGGCCATGGTGCTCGACCGGAAAAAGGTGCCTTGCCCTCTCCAGGTGGGTGGAGAGGTCCTTCCTCAAGTGGAGGAGTTCAAGTATCTCGGGGTCTTGTTCACGAGTGAGGGAAGAATTGAGCGTGAGATTGACAGGCGGATCGGTGCAGCGTGCGCAGTGATGCGGTCGCTGTATCGGACCGTTGTGGTAAAGAGGGAGCTGAGCCGAAAGGCGAAGCTCTCGATTTACCGGTCAATCTTCGTTCCCTCCCTCACCTATGGTCATGAGCTTTGGGTAATGACCGAAAGAACGAGATTGCGGATACAAGCGGTCGAAATGAGCTTCCTCCGCAGAGTGGCTGGGCGCTCCCTTAGAGATAGGGTGAGGAGCTCAGTCACACGGGAGGAGCTCGGAGTAGAGCCGCTGCTTCTCCACGTCGAGAGGAACCAGTTGAGGTGGCTCGGGCATCTGTTCAGGATGCCTCCTGGACGCCTTCCTGGGGAGGTGTTCCGGGCACGTCCCACCGGGAGGAGGCCCCGGGGAAGACCCAGGACACGCTGGAGAGACTATGTCTCTCAGCTGGCCTGGGAACGCCTTGGGGTCCCCCCGGACGAGCTGGAGGAAGTGTGTGTGGATAGGGAAGTCTGGGCGTCTCTGCTTAGACTGCTGCCCCCGCGACCCGGCAACGGATAAAGCGGAAGAAAATGGATGGATGGATGGATGGATAAAAACTGTTAGCGTAACGAGATGTCCTGCATCTCAGAGAGCGATATCTTCTGCCAGAGGGAAGAAGCTGGAACATGGATTTCCCAGGGTGGCCAGAAGAGTCATTAACAATCCTAAGAGCTTTGTTTAAAAGTCTGGGTTTATAAAGAACCTCCAGAACAGGAAGCTCACAGCCCACGGTGCTCTTAGCAGAGCGGAGCACCTTGTTTAAAGCTCTCTTTTCTTTATCTGTGATGTTTCCAAACCACACAGACACAGAACCAACAAGTAAACTCTCAATGGTGCAGCGATAAAAGTTAAGCACAATCTTGAAGAAGACATACATACGCACATTCTAGGCAATGGGGGTTAAGTTTCTTGCTTAAGGAAACAACAGCAGTTTGGCACTTTACAGCCGCAGCCTCCCCACTGTGGCTGGTGTTCCCAGAGGTTAAGTGTCTTGTGGGAGTCGATGGTGAAGGTCCGGCTCGATCCCATGACCCTCTGGCTCAAAGGCCAATGCTCTACCAACTGAGCTACTGTCATGTTTGTTTAGGATTCCACATATTGGACAAAAAGCACAATCTGAGTGATTCTATCTGCGCCAAATGTGACATGTACATTTCTCCAGTTCAAGATAAGATATAGACTTTATTGATCTCACAGAATGGGCTGGTTTTAAACACGGATGGACGCAATTTTTCAGAACAAGCCAATAGTGTGAGCCTGGATGAGTTGGGGACGGCTGCCTTTGTAGAATGTGAATGTAACAATGTCAAATGTGGTTTTAGTTGCCTTAAAAACTATTCTGGGGACGTTATAAATTACCCTCGGCTTTAAATGTTGTAGTGTTTCACATTTGTCCCTATCGATTAAACCAATAAATAAAATATATGTATAAATGTACTCTGCCACATACTGCATCCCCATGTACACTGCCCCCTTGTGGAGACATTATAAAAGAGCAGCAGCAGCAGAGTCTGAATGTGGCCTGTGGTGATGGAAGGAGGAGATGCAGAGGGTCCCGCGGTGGAACAGCACGAGACAAAGTGTGAGGAGGAGGTCCTGCAGAGCGGTGCAGACTCAGGGACTCCAGGAAGACTCTGGTCAGGTCTCTGGTGGATCCGTGTGTGGTCCCACTGCACTAATTTCTCACTGTAACTAATGTCTTGGTTTTTCTACTTTTTTTTTGTTTTTATAACTTTGTGTAATTTCAAAACCTGTGCAGTTTAGACTCTCAGTGTTTCCAAATAAACACAGCAGCAGAAGAGAAGCCAAATCCCGTCTGAAGCTAAGTAGGGCAGGGCTTCGTTAGTGCTGTGATGGGAGACCTCTGGAAACAGGTGCTACAATGGGGCGGCTGTGGAAGTAGAGTGCCAATGTTTTGCTGTGTCCTTAGGCAAGACACCTCACCCACAATAGAATGAGTCTGGTGTGTGTGTGAATGATTAGGGCTGATTGGTACATACTGGTCGCCTTGCATCGGTCAGTGTGCCCCAGGGCAGCTGTGGCTACATTTTTATTTTTATTTATTCGGGTCTTTGAGTCCAAACACCCGTGCATTATAAAAGGCAGTATTCTTGGTGATGCTGTAATACCACCAAATGCCCAGCAGGTGTCTCTGTTGCTCTTTGAAACGCTGACATTCCTCTGTTGTTAAAAGACCTTTTTTCTGTCCAATATTTTTTTTTTCTGCAAATGACAAAAGCTTTATTTTGGATCCAGCAAACATAAAAGCCTAAAATCTCGCACGTAATCCGCTCATTTACTTTGTTTTTTTGGCATTTATTATCCGCAAACTTTTCTACAAAAACCCTCTAATTTCTTTACTCTTGCTCTTGTAAATCTTAGTTATTGCCGGAAAATGATTGAAAAAAGCGAGATATAATTGTAAAGGCAAAAAAAAACCAGCATCAGTCACCGTAGCAACACAGTCCTTTTTTGCAAAGCAGATGAGATGCTCCTTATAGTGGTGGACTAGGATGACAAGGCTGCAGTGGAGGTACAGGTTTTATCAGGTCATGCATCGTGGGAGGGGGCTGTTACTGAAATGTAAAGTAGCACAAGGCAAGTTTATTTGTATCGCACAGTTCTTTACAAGATGCACAAAAGGCATTGAAATAATCACAGGAGACGAAGAAGATACAATCCTTCAGTTGTATGCAGCTAAAAATAACAGTTTTTCTCATGTTTTTCGGAAGACTTTTCCAGATTTTAGCTCCTCAGAGTCCCAGCAGGAGGCCAGTCCCTGTGCTCCTCAGAGTCAGAGTTGGTTCATATGGGAAGTGCTCATGGTGAAGTTTTGCTCCAACTTGCTCTGGCTCCTATTGACATGTATTGACACCAGCTCAGTAATCATAACCCTTTTTCTAGTAGACTAGACTTTAAAGAAGCTCTGGTTGTTACAAGTCTCTCCATGGCCTTGAACCAAAATACATCTGTGACATGTGACAATATCACCCGATAAACACCATGATCACAGACAGCGCTAAACCAGAAAAAGGGTTATGATTACTGAGCTGGTGTCAATGCAAGTCAATAGGAGCCAGAGCGAGTTGGAGCACAACTTCACCATGAGCACTTCTGGATTGCATTTTCATCACGCTAGCGGATTAGCATTGTCCATCTATATACAGTCTGTGACCGTAACATCATGATAAAACAGAGCGCCCCCTGGGACCCCCTCAAACCCCCATCCATCTCCATACAGTAACATTATAGAGAGATTAGGCCCAAATCTGTCGTTAGAACGCGCTGCGGCGGCGACAGCGACTCCATCATCACAACCTAATGGCCAAACTGTTCCTCTGATTATATTAGCAAGCACATTCATCATATAAATACATGTGCTGGGATCGCCATAATGTGTGCGTTATGCAAGTCGTAGGGAGGGCGCGCAGGGGAAGGCAATGATTCAAGACAAATGGCAGATAGCGATGAAGACGAAGGACTTCACACACACAAAGGGCTTCCATAGAGTTTTATTTATGGGTGTTTTGGGATGAAAAGCCTTTTGGTGGATCTACTGTAAGGGCCACATCATGTTGTTCATATAGATTTTCCCGAGAGGCACATGTTTCACATTCACAGAGCCGCGGGAAAAGTGTGCAAAATGTTCTGTGGCTATTTCCTGCTCACTATCGGCTGCAAGGATGTTATCACAGGTCAATTCAAGACAATGTGTTTGTGTAAAGGCATCAATCACAGCAGCTGTCGTCTCCCAGGACTTTGCAATGTTGTTGATTCACCGACAATGGAATAGAGAATCAAACAGTTCAAGCATGCAATAATAACGAACACACAGAGGAGGCAGAGGGAGAGAGACCACCGTCCATAAATGTCATAGATCACTGTCATCAGACCCTCCTGCATCAGCGAGGAACCTCTCAAACAAAACAAAACCTGTTTCGGCAGAAGTCTACCGCCGAAACATTAAGCAGTGCTGGCTTCTTTACATGTTTTGCCTCATTAAAAGAACCTTCTAAGCCTTAAACAAACAGCCTGAATCCAGATATGGCTCTTTTGATATCTCTGTATGTTATATGTTTCAGGTTTTGGGTTAGATTCATCCCCACCGCTGTCAGACTGTACAATAAGTCACTTTAAGTCAGTGATGACCTGCACTAGGACTGAAGAACCAGCACTGCTATTGCCACTTTTTATTGTGCATAATTGTATCCTGCACAGACAATGTTTTTAACCGTAACACTTCTGTCTTTTACACAATCTGAGTGATTCTCTCAGCTAAATGAGACATGTGCATTTCTCCATTGTGAGATCAATAAAGTGTATCTTTTCTGATCTGATTTCTTCCATCCATCCATTGTCTTCCCCTGAATACATTTCTCGGTTCAGTCAGAGCTGCACCTCGTTCACAGAGCCCCAGCCCCTGATCCTCCTGCCGCTGAGTCCACAACAAAGCCTTTATCTGTCAGTGGGGGCTTCAGGCAAAGTGGGGTTGAGTGTCTTGCCCAAGGACACAACGACAGAAGACATCAGAAGAAGAAGGTCCTTTACTCGTCCTAACTCGACCATGGGGAAATTTCAGTTTGATGCATACTCATACACATATATCAGTGGGAGTCGGTGGAGAGGGTCTCATGGGGGAATCAAACCCACAACCTTCAGGCTCAAAGGCCAATGCTTTACCAACTTAGTGACTGGATTTCTTCAGTACAAAAAATATATTAAACACATAATTAAGATAAGAAATGTGAACGGCGCTGTATACATTACTTTTTACTCATAAGATACGTCTCTCAGTTGTGACATTTCAATAGTTGCGCACATTACAAAATAATGAAAGAATAAAGAAGAGATTCAGGCCATGCACTTATTAAACTACTTTAAAATTACTCCAAATGTATCTATAAAATCACACATATTCACGGTTAACAATGGCTTCCACAGAATGTTAGAGTATGAGTCTGTGTTATAGTCATAATAACTAACAGCAGCACTAACTACACTCTCTACTCTGAGATAGTCGCGTCCATGAACCCAGCCCCCCCCCTCCGCTCGGCCGCACTTGGTACGCGCCTCATCCACAAGTCTCTCCCGAGCTCCGAGCCACATTCTTCCCATTCACAAACTCCGCACCCTGCAGCCGTATCTCCTCTTCTTCTTCCTCCTCCTCGTTCTTCTACTTCTTCTTCTTCTTCTGCCTCACGCACGCTCTCTCCAAAACCCAACGCAGCCAAACAGACCGAGCCCTGCGCCAACCTGGACCGCTACATCATGACCATGTACAAGGGGAAGCGACGCAACCACCGCTGTAAGTCTGCGCCTTCTTCTCTCTCCTCCACATCCACACATCCACACATCCACATCCACACATCCACATCCACACATCCACACATCCACATCCACACTGTCCATTCCGCCGCGTCTCTGAGAGTTCCCCGTTACGCACGCTCCTTGGCTGCGTCGCTGTTGCCACAAGCGACCATTTGGGTCCGTTTTATGCAAATATTTCTGTCTTAGTTCCAGTTAACGTCCTCAGAGCGACCTCTTGATTCGGTTTGGCTTCAGTGGTGGCATTTCTCCCCCCCCTAACGAAAAGACTCTAGCACCTGCTCTGCTGTTCAATTAAAGGGGAGGTGGGGTAGGGGGGTAGGAAGGGGTGGGGGTGGGGGGGGGGGGTCTCGTCGGGTCAAGTAAATGATACTAGCGTTTTCATTAACATATATACGACTGATACATTCTCTCCTGGTGTTATTCATTTAACCAGGAATCTTAAAGTTCTGTGCGATACTGCGATCTCAGACTGTGCTGAACGTCACTTGATGTATTTATTCCGTCATTTTTATTATCGATGTTATTTAGACACATTTAAACCTCTCTCTGTGTGTCTAATGTGCTCTTACTGCTGTCCTGAATGTACGGCAATATCTTGATTTGGTGAATACAATTGTTTTGGAAGTCGGCTTTTTTAATCCAATTCTCACATTCTCAAACATTTTACTGTAAAACAGCTATAAAAACCCTCTCTCTCTCCCACCCTCTTTATGTCTCTCCCTCTCTGTCAGTCTCTCCCTCTCTTTCTCTCTATCTCTGTATCTCTCTTTCTATCTCTATTCACATCCAATGCATCTGTCTCTCTTCCGCTCTATCTCTCTCTCTCTGTCTCCCTCTCTCTCTCCCTCTCTCTCTCCCTCTCTCCCTCCCTCCCTCTCTCTATATCTCTCTGTCTCCCTCTCTCGCCCTCTCCCTCACTTTCTCTCTTTCTCTCTCTCTCTGTCTCCCTCTCTCGCCCTCGCTCTCCCTCACTCTTTCTCTCTCTCCCTCTCCCTCCCTCTCTCTGTCTCTGGCAGAGATGCACATGCCAAAGTTGGCATGCAAATATTTCTGTCGGTCCAGTCCTTATCTACAGTCAGTGCACTGAATAATGTGTGTGTCTAAAAACATGTGGAAGGATGTGTGTTTATTTTCTTTAGTTTTATTTTAATATTAGGAACACTGCGTCACATTCAGCTCGTTCAAATCCAAGTTAATCACATACTTTAGTGGACTCATAATAATCGACAAATAGATGAAAGAAAATCTGATGAAAAGCAAATCTGTAAAGTCTGTAAGTGTTTATGCCCGATCCGTGTCTGTGTCATGGGGACAATTCTGGACCAAAGAAATACACACATTTTAAATCAACAAAACCCGGTTCCATAAAAACGTCTGGTTCTCATGGTGGCGTGTGGTTCTCACCGTGGCGTGTGGTTCTCATTGTGGCGTGTGGTTCTCATGGTGGCGTGTGGTTCTCACCGTGTCGTGGGCTGTGTGGCGTTCCAGTACAATCGCAGCATAAGTGCTTACCCGCCTCGGTGATGTCACAGTGTATTGTTAACGTGAGGCCGGAGGTGGACCTGGAGTTGGACCTGGAGTTGGACCTGGAGTTGGACCTGGAGTTGGACCTGGAGTTGGACCTGGAGTTGGACCTGGAGTTGGACCTGGAGTTGGACCTGGAGGTGGACCATCTCTGACAGACAGAAAAGCAGGTCCTTGGAGCGGCTTTGTCAGCTCCACCTCGGCCTTTAGCAGAGTAAACATTACTGAGACTCACGCTGCGTTCGGAGAAAGATCCACAGGAAATGGATTCTTGGAATGGAATTTTTTCTTCTTTTTTTTTCAATTCTGTGGTATATTTAGTATTTAGAGGGTAATGACCCAGATGTGGCTTATGGACTGCATTTTCAGCCTAAAAGAAACCGGAAAACATAACTTTCTTAATCAAATAAAGTGTCATTCAAATGTTTTCATGCAGATTATTATTCTCTAAATAAGGTGATTTCTTTTGGAACTTCTGTTTGCAGATTTTGATTGGCTAATTACTAATGCATTGATTGACCTTTTGCTGAGATTTACCCGTTGGATTCAGGCGGTTCTGAGCTTTGAACATATTGATTTCCATTTGGTGCAGCTGAAGTCGGATCAAATGTGATTTCAGTGGCTTTATTCTCACCCCCACTGCTCCCTGATTGAACAGAAAAAATGCAAACCCTTGATACACACATGAGGGCCCTTTCCATTAGTCCAACGACTCTCCTGCAAATGTCACCAGTGGGGGTTATGGCAGAGGAGAGAGAGTGTTGAATATATTACTTTATATGGTACCACTATTATGAAGAATCTTTTATGCCTTTTTATCTCTTTTTACTCTTAGAACTTGTTTGCACCATGAGCCAAAGCCAATACTCAGTGTGTGACTTCCTGTTACTTACAATGGGAATACAATAATTTAGATTCTGTTTTTGCCCCCTCTGGTATGGCTTTGAACAATAGGAACTGCCTGAATAATTCCAATGTGCTTATATATATAACATTAAACATTCATCATCTTAAAAAATATACAAAATTTCTTTAGAGTCGGGGCAGAAAAACACGTGTCCTTTTCTTCACAATGTTATCTGTGGCTGAATCCGTTAGCGGTGTTTCTTATTTCAGCACCACGGTCAGCTCCCCCATGTCTCCCAAGGCTTCGGATCTGGGGCAATGTGAATCATGAGGTCCCTGTTCTTCTCTCCACGTTTGCCCTGACATGATAAATACCTAAACACCACCATGCGACGAGTTATTTTTAGTTCATAATCGGGTTTTCTTTGGAACTTTTCTCGCTGAGCAGAAAAGCGAAACCAAACCCAGCCGATGGAGGCGAGGGGCTGCCTCAGCTGAACAAGTTTTAATGAAGAAGTAGTGTTTAATACCTTTGCTTTGCTGCGGTGTTGGTGCATTTGTGTGTCGTATTCTGCAATTATATCCTAGTGCTCGTGCGGTTTGTTTCCGCGGCAACGTCCTGATTAAGTTTAATGCATATTGATGACTTTAGTTTAATAATATTCTTTTTTGAAGCCCACTGAGTATTACAGTAAGTGTCTGCAACATTATACATTCATTAACTATGTTTTATTTACTTTCTCTATAACTGCTTTTACTGTCTGTTGAATGTTTATTGATTTAATGTATGACTGAAAAATAAATTACCCCAAAATGAAAGTCAAAAACAAAAGGATTAACAAAATGGAACTGTTTTTGAACTGGATTTTAGCATTGTCAGAGTAGAAGCCTATCTCACATTTTCAGGAAGACTGTTCCAGATTTTAGCTGCATGAAGCTTAAACGCTGCCTCCCCATGTTTAGTCCTGACTTTGGGCACCAGCAGGAGGCCAGTCCCTGTGCTCCTCAGAGTCCCAGCAGGAGGCCAGTCCCTGTGCTCCTCAGAGTTGATTCATAAACTGTAGTCTCTTCTCTGAGCCACAGGAGCCAGAGCAGAGACCTCAGACCCGGACCAAGAGATCTCTGTCTTAGTAATAAAGCAGACTCACAATCATTCCAATAATTCCTTTGCGATCTGAAACAGAGCCTCTCAAAACTATTTATCAAACATTAAAATCACTCCGACTCTTTAAAGCGAGGGTGGGCAGAAGAGGAAATATATGAAAAGCCAATGCCTCCTCGGTGTCTTCTGCCGTGTGTCAAGGGCAATAGTGATTCTAGAAGCAGGTATTAGTGAAATCTGACGCCGTTTTTCTGCCTCGGAGCCTGCACCACTCGGAGCGCGGCCTCCAATCTCCTCGTTCGTGTCCGCGGGTCAGAATACAAATTACGCGCGGCTCAACACTCGGCGGAGATGGGTTCTGATTGAAAATTTTGGTTAATTTCTTCATATATATTCAATGTTAAATATGTGTCAAAGTCTAATATTAGCTTTGGGGCTACGCTGTGTGCGGCTGTTGAAGCTAGTGGGACGGTATTTGAAACCACAAATGTTATCTGTATATTTGAGTCACTTCCATGCTTTAAAACAGTTTGGTTACTTATGTGTATTTTACTACGGTGAACAAATATTTTAGTTATTCATTATAGCAGTACGTATGATGGCTATTTTTCTGCTGCTGTCAAAGGGACTTGAAGGAGTTTGGTTGTCTGTCTGTCTCTGTGTCTGTGAGAGACCAGAGGGAGACCAGAGGGAGACCAGAGAGAGACCAGAGAGAGACCAGAGAGAGACCAGAGAGAGACCAGAGAGAGACCAGAGAGAGACCAGAGAGAGACCAGAGAGAGACCAGAGAGAGACCAGAGAGAGACCAGAGAGAGACCAGAGAGAGACCAGAGAGAGACCAGAGGGAGACCAGAGGGAGACCAGAGGGAGACCAGAGGGAGAGAGAGAGAGAGAGAGAGAGAGAGAGAGAGAGAGACCAGAGAGAGAGAGACCAGAGAGAGACCAGAGAGAGACCAGAGAGAGACCAGAGAGAGACCAGAGGGAGACCAGAGGGAGACCAGAGGGAGACCAGAGGGAGAGAGAGAGAGAGAGAGACCAGAGAGAGAGACCAGAGAGAGAGACCAGAGAGAGAGAGACCAGAGAGAGACCAGAGGGAGACCAGAGGGAGACCAGAGGGAGACCAGAGGGAGAGAGAGAGAGAGAGAGACCAGAGGGAGACCAGAGGGAGACCAGAGGGAGACCAGAGAGAGAGAGAGAGAGAGACCAGAGAGAGAGAGACCAGAGAGAGACCAGAGAGAGACCAGAGAGAGACCAGAGAGAGACCAGAGGGAGACCAGAGGGAGACCAGAGGGAGAGAGAGAGAGAGAGAGAGAGAGAGAGACCAGAGAGAGAGAGACCAGAGAGAGACCAGAGAGAGACCAGAGAGAGACCAGAGAGAGACCAGAGGGAGACCAGAGGGAGACCAGAGGGAGACCAGAGGGAGACCAGAGGGAGACCAGAGGGAGACCAGAGGGAGAGAGAGAGAGAGAGAGAGACCAGAGAGAGACCAAAAATTTAACAATCGGATTATTAGATTACTTAATATTTGTTAACTATTTCAATAATGGACTAGGTGGGTTTTAATTGACGTACAGCCCTGGAATTTTCTATACTGGTCCAACGCTGTCACTCAGTTTCCCACCATAGTTCACTCTCGCCTAAATAACATCAGTTCTCATTCTGCCACAGTCGTCTCTGCAAAGTGTCAGACAGAGATTATTTTTAGCGGTGAGAGAATCGGCAGCAGCAGAGACGCCGTCCTTCGCTGTCGTCCTTTCTCTTCTTCACCCGGAACGTTCTGTCGCTGTCTGCCTCACTCCAGCCTCCTCACTCAGGTTCCAGCCCGGTCTCACGGTGCTCTCAGGTGACCGGACAGGACCGTGGTGAGCCCCTCCCTGCTCCCTGCGATCCAGAGCCAGAGAGGAGCTGTTATCGGTCCCTGTAGATCCCTGTATCTCCTTGTATCTCCTTGTAGGCCCCTGTGGATCCCTGTAGATTCCTGTAGGTCCCTGTATCTTCTTGTATCTCCTTGTATCTCCTTGTAGGCCCCTGTAGGTCCCTGGATCACAGGTGAGGGAGGGGCAGGTCTCTTCTGACTCACTGCATCTGGGAGTGCGGCTTGTTTTGCATTTTTTGTGGACGATTTGGTGTTGGGCGGTCGATCTCTCATTGGTGCCAAATGTAGTGAATAAATTGAGATATTTTTTAGCTTTTGAAGATGACATTGTGGTTCTTATACAGCCATAATCCCAATTTAAGTATTAACTGTTTTGTGAATTAATGACTATTGATATATTAAGCAATAAAGAAGGGTCTGATTGTTTTAGTTTGAGCTGCAGGTTCATCGACTCCTGACATGTTGAGTCCAGAGCAACTGAACCGTGGCTCTGTCTGTCCAAACAGCTGTAAATGTCAAACTATGTACATTCTTTCTCTGGGTTACACTTCAAAGCTGCCGTGGGCCGTTACATTTCCCTTTCATCACCCGCTTTCCGTATGAACTTGACTCTGTTCTACAAATAAAAGACCAGAGCAAAATTGGATAGTTTCTTTTTCAAAACAACCGTCTCCGATACTTGCACTAATTTTCACTCAAGCATATTGTCTGGAGCAGCAGTAATTATGAAGATGAAGCTGTTGCACGCGCTGAAGAGAACAAACGTCTTATCCCAGTTTTCATTTATAATCGCAGCTCCCAGTGCAATTAGCTCAAACGGATGCTTTCTGTCTGTTCCTTCAAATACCAGGTCCAATCGTAACAATGTGTTTACCTCCTGTCTGGGCTGTTTGCTTAAAACTAGAGGTTGAGGATCTGTTTTTTTTCTCAGGTTGATATCAATACTTTAGTTTGTAATCAAGATGGCAGATGACCAATATAATGAGTAAGTAACTAAGTATTGTTTTTTTTATGTAGCGCCTTTCACAGAGCAGAGTCACTGAGCGTTTTATATTTGTTGTGGGCATTTGTCAACATACCTATTGTGTTATGTTTTTAGGGGTAGGGGAAACCGGAGCACCCAGAGGAAACCCAGAGACACAGGGTTAAAGTTAGGGTCAGGGAGAATGTGCAAATTCCATAAAGAAGGGTCTGGAAGTGTAATCAAACCCAAGACCTTCTAATATTGCAATAATGGTTTTTATATAGTGCTTTATTACATTCTAAAACGCTTCTTATGGCTTTATTCTTTCACTCCATCTACAACTATCAAACTCCAACTGTAACCACAGCTGCCCTGGGGCACACTGACAGAAGAAAGGCAACCAGTCCGTGCCTTCAGCCCCTCCCACCACCACCAACCATTCACACACACACCAGACTCATTCTAATGTGGGGTAAGTGTCTTGCCTAAGGACACAACAACAGTGTGGCACTTTACAGCCGCAGCCGCCCCACTGTGGCACCTGCTGTTCCCAGAGGTCTCCCATCACAGTACTAACCAGACCTTAACCTGCTTATCTTCAGAGATGTGACGGGATTCATCATCATAAACAGTTTTTATTGTTAATAATGATTCCAAACAGCAACACCTGACTTTATAAAAATGCTTGAAGCTAATCACTTTTAAGAATAATCCTTAAAAAAACGTAATTGTGATACTTCCAGTTCATAATTTCACCCTGAGGCCAAAACACAGAATATACGCTTTCAAATCAATTGTTTCGATACTAAAACTATAGTGGACGATACCAAACATAATGAATTCTTATCATTAATTATTACCGATGATAGCGATATTTCTCCTGATAATAACTCATGTTTTACTTCATTTTACAGTAAAAACTTATCGTAGTTAAATCTTGTTTTTCTCCAAGTCTCCGTACTCTGCGGTTCCAGACTCGACGATGTAGAAGGCTTCCTGACTTAAACCTCCGGAAAATGCTAAATAATGCAGGCTCAGTGGAAACTCCGAGAAAAGCAACTTACCTTGAACTGTCCCGAGGTTTCTTTGAAACAGGTCTCGGTGTTTTTTTCTCCTGATGTTCAAAGCCGCACCGACCGGTACCTTTGATATGCAGATGTCCCTCATTGGCCTCGGCAAGCGGCTCTTATTTATCATTTCTCTTTAATTAGCTGCGGTTTTTCGCAGTCGGTAAACAACATTTTTTTCCTCCCCACCGGTTTAGCGTCGGCCGCTCGCCTAAAAGGAGACATGTGTGAGCTCCAGATGAAGAGTGCAGCAGGTGTGGGGATGGGCAGAGACCTCGGGCAGTGGTGGAAATATAAAACTTGCAAAAAAGGTCACAGCGGGCGGCGTCTGTCGAGAGATTTCAGATTTAAAGGCTTCTGGAAATCTGCCATAAATAAGCGAATGAAGGAGTTTGATTTAAGCAGAACAAGCAGAAACACGATTGGTTTGAAACGCAGCAGAGTCTGAAGTCTTTGCTCCTTTGTGCGACTCGCTGCTTCCTGTGCGTCAGAAACACTTCATGTCGACGAGACGGAGGAGACGAAACACACTGCAGCCTGGGATTCTACCCTTGCACTGCTTCCTCCAGATTATTTACTTAAACTAAGACGTATTCACCAAGAGTCAGTGGTAAAAGCACACGGAACATTTGAAAGCACATAGTTATAATAAACGACAGAGCAAAGTTCAGTCAAACATTATCACGATTTGATCAAGTAACCGCTCACTTCTTTTTTACTTTCTAAGTCTAACTAGACTAAAAATACATTTGAAAGTAAAAAGACAGTTGGAAAAACGACTAGTTTTTATTTTACAATAAATAAGCAGATATTGGTTAGTCAACGAGTAAGCTCGGGCCATGACCCTGCCGCGGTGGCACCAGGCGGCAGTACTGACGCCGTAGGGGTAGACGTGTGAATGTGGAAGAGTGTCTGATGGGAACTTCTTCCTGTGGTCAACCACCCCTCTAGGAGGAAATGGTTTACATCTATGGATCGAGTATTGGTTAGCCTAACCAATATATTGGTCATAGATTTACCAATCTGAATTAAAATGAATTAGCTAGCCTGATATTGGATTATTGGACTGACCAATATGTTGGTCCTAATGATGATATGCAGTGGTTGGCGATTACCAAAACAGATTGATTGAAAACACAATCATAGTCTTTGTCCATGAATGTAATTATCAGTCTGTAGTCCATGTGTGCTGCTTCCCGTTGGATACACTTCTCAATATTTGACAGTTTGAATGTTTTTTGTTGGCATCAATCCTGGAGAAAATCCCAGACGCCTGTCACGGTTTAATAAAGCCACTTTTGTCTCATCTTTCACTCATGTGTTATTTCTTTCTGTCAGACACCGCTCCTGATGGTATCGTGTAGCTCTGGTCGACTTGCAATACCAACATTGGATTGCACCATTCCATATTCACACATACACATTTTTTCCCTACGCTTTTCACGTCAAAACTAATCATTTCTCCCGAGGCTCGTCCTCTCAGTCCTGGCTCAGAGAAAGAAGCTTCGTGTGAGATGGTTTTTTTAAGGGCCATGTCGTGACACCGCACTGGCACCTCATCTCAAACCTGCTGCTTTCTTCAAAAACATCTCCAGCTTCACAAATCACTTCAAAGTCTGTGTGCAGAGACGGGGAGAAGAAAAAAAACCACACACACAGAAAGAACGCAAGATGGAGATGAGAAATTCCTGTGAGTCTCATGTGAGCATCTTCCGGCTCACCGTCCGCCCACCGCAGAGCCAAGAATGCTTTTGGAATGTTTGGCTGAATAGTTGGAATAGTTGAGATTTAACTATCAAGCAAGTGGCTCAGAACCGCAACTGTTGTTAGAGAATGTGTTATGGTCAGAAGCAGCCCTGTGAGTCACTATTTGATGCTTTGAGCTGATTGGCTGAGAATGGGGTCCTCAAAGCTGATCCCAAGATGTGGAAATGAGGCCAGAATGATTAAAAGCTATGAAATCAAGCGAGGAACTATAGTTTCAATTCAATGCAATCTTATTCCACAAGAAGGTTCTGGGTTCGAATCCCGGTTGGACCAGGGCTTTCTGAGTGGAGTTTGCATGTTCTCCCTGTGTCTGCGTAGGTTTCCTCCAGGTGCTCCGGTTTCCCCTACCACTGTTTTTGTGCTTTCTAAATGTTGGTACAGCAGCTTCAAGACGTTGTGAATCTGTGAATCAGTCATAGCCCTGGAGTTGTTTTTAGTTCCACACGTGCTAATATCAGACACTTGTGGCAAAAACATGTCTAAAAGCTCCGGTCTCAGTCCTGTAATCAAATCATATAATCGTAAACTTCACGCATTTTTAAAAACATAGTATTGCCCAAAATTTGATTTTTCTCGGCGTAAACTGACATTCTTTACAATCACTCTGCTGTGTTTGCAGCCGGTAATGTTCAAATTTGGTTAAAAACGCAACAAAAAAAACATTACACCTCTCCTGGTGGTAGCATATGGAATTACAAGCAGAACGCATTTTTACCCTTTATACATGTTTCACCATATATTTCCACTGAATGTATTATTTCAGACTCTAAAACATGAAATAAGAAAGTAAATAGTCTTTGTATCATATTCAATGCCCACAAATAATGCATACAATTTCATCTTTAAAAGTTATATAAACTCAAAATAATTGGTTTTGGATGTGTCTGCATACTGGGTGAATGTGTAGGAGAGCCGTGAGTGGCACTTGAAGACAGAGACCAAACCATTAAGCATTTTTCTACAATTATTCCTCATTCAATATCAGCGGAATTGGAAAATGGTGCTCCGTAAAGTGCCGTCTCTCTGTGTCACTCTGAGTGCTGTCGAACAACTCGAGGTGAGAATCAAGGTTTATTGTGTTGTTGTGGCGTCGAATTAAAAAGCAGCACTTGTTCCTCAGACAAAGCAGCTCAAGCCGTGATTGTTTCACTTCGTTTTTCCTTGAGTGGTTTGAGAGAGGTGTCATTAGGGAAGGCTCCAGTGCAGGTGGAAAAGAACAAGAATCATGCATCAGGAGGCGACGAGACAGACGGCCTTCAACCATCATCCTTGTCAAACTGGAAGCCGTTTATGCTTCTGAAAGCTTTGGTCATGTGTTGCTAGCTCTATATCTGACACTAACGGGCGACAGTAGCTCAGTTGGTAGAGCATTGGCCTTTGAACCAGAGGGTCGTGGGTTCGAGCCCGACCTTCACCATCGACTCCCACTGTCTGCTGCCGTTGTGTCCTTGGGCAAGACACTTAACCTCTGGGAACACCAGCCACAGTGGGGCGGCTGCGGCTGTAAAGTGCCAAACGGCCGTTGTGTCCTTAGGCAAGACACTTCACCCCCATTGCCTAGAATGAGTCTGATGTGTGTGTGAATGGTTGGTGGTGGTTGGAGGGGCCGATGGCGCATACTGGTTGCCTCGCTTCTGTCAGTGTGACCCAGGGCAGCTGTGGCTACAGTAGTAGTTTATCACCACCGCGTTTGGAAAGAAAGACTAATGACATGTGAAGCGTCTTTGAGTGTCCAAAAAAGCGCTGTATAAAACCGATGCATTATTATTATTAACGCTTTGGTCATGTGTTGCTATAGCAACACATGACATGGTCATGTGTGACCCTAAAGCTTTGGTCATGTGTTGCTAGCTCTATATCTGACCCTGAATTATATTTAATTTAATTTATTGAGCTTGAGTCTGAAAGGAGAAGCATTCACATTATTTTTAGCTCCGCCCCTTCCGTCTAAAAAGAAAGTTATTCAGTTGTGTGAAGGACAACATTTATTAACCTTTATGGGCACTACTTTTGTCTTAAAAGACAGAAAATACGCCATAGTGACACTATTGCGGTATGTCAAATTTGAAAAATGGGCTCCCCCTGGTGGTAGCATAGGGGATTACAGGCACAAAGCATTTTTACCCTATTTTTTCAGCTGAAGATATTATTTCATATATTAAAATAAAATGACAAAGTAAACAGACGTTCTATCATTTGAATCATGGCCAAAGTCATATGAATTATTTCTTTAACGTGGGTGAGATGCTTGAGGGAAAAAGTTGAGGACGTCTGATCTCTAATATAACCCTCAATAGTCAAATGGTTGATTTGACGCACACTGAAAATAAAAAATATAAACTATTGTAAATTGTATTCTCTATGATCCATGAATCCTATCCTATTTCTCAGGATCATCAGTTGGGTAAAACTCACAATGGTCTAAACCCAGTTCTCGTTCACTTCGTTATACTAGTTACATTAGTATTGGTCGTGAGACAGGTTGGTTTTACCCACTGATGATATGTTGTTGCAATAGTAATCCTGCAGGTGTCCAGGGGGTCATCTCAGGCAGCGAGCGGGACCACAGAAGCAGCAGTGTTGTGGTTGCCAGGTCTGAGCACGAGAGCAGCTACGTTTTAAAACTCGACCTGGCGTGTTGTGAAGTCTCTCGCTGCAGCAATTATTCGACTCGTCCTGGACTCTGCTCTGACGGACGACTCGCAGCTGGTGGCCTCATCGTCCCGGTCCATCAGTCATTATAAGAGCAGATAAACAAAATGAAAGTCTCTGGTGGGATGTTGGTAATTGGCAACGTAGATGGCAGATGTTAGCGCTGTAATTGCGGGCGCATATGTCTACCCAGTAATAAAACCAAACAAAATATACACGCTTCCTCAAGGACGTTTTGCTTTTCAGGCGTGTTTTCAGTGCTTCTCGTTGCCATGAGAAACTGCGTTATCTTTATCATATTTTGTGGTAAATTGATTTGTTTATGAGTTTGTGGGTGTGTTTTAGTTCATGTGCTTAATGTGAAATGTCCCACTGGGGCGAGAAAAAGATGAATTAGGAGATGGAATATTGCTACAAAACCTACAGGTCGGAATGAGGTAGGTGTAGGTAGGCGGAGTATGTGCTCCGCGAGTGTGCGTTGTGGTTTTTCTAGGATTTTTGTTTATTTTTTATTTTTTTTGGACAAAACTTGTAGATGGGTTAACGATTTTGTCTGAAGCAAGTGATTCCTTATGTGATTTCAAACTACTTTAAACTCAATGTGTCACTCAATTCAATTCCATATTATTTTTGTGTTGCCCTAAATTGCCGATCAGAGAATAATTTGAAATGCAAAATAAATGCTGGTAAATGTTGTTAAATGTCCTGGAATACCTCTGTCTTCACACCCTCCTGCATCAGCAAGTAACCACTCATAAAAATCCAGAATAATTAAAACATGTTCAAATATGTATCCATTCAAAAATTGTCATACAAAACAAGTATTACCGAATTATGGGATGGAAAGCTAGCCGTGGTCTCAGTAAGGAGCAAGTGATGGGGGAGAGGGGTAGGTTCAGAGAGTGTTTGGTCTTGTCTGTGTAATTGTGTGTGTCTGTTTAGTGTTGTGTTGTATGAGTGACTGGGGTTACTTTGTACTTTGCGTTTGAAATGGATTTAACACTACTAAACTACAACTTTCTGAACTATAAATGTAAGACCGTCCATATTTTCACTTTCAAGCCAAATTGTCCCTTTGCTCTGACAAGGATAAAGTCTGATCAGAATCCGCTTGACTTTCTGACGCTAGATTTAGTGTGAAATGGACTATCGGATGGTCATTATAGCAAAGTCACGAGTGTGAAGGATGATGGCGGCAGAAGTCTCCCGTCTCTGTCTCCACAAAGATCTTTAGACACGGCGTTTCTCCGGACATAACCCTGCAGTGATCCGTGCTGCTCTGTCTTCCAGCTATTAGCCACTACACTTTTCTCTGTTCAGGGAAAGAACGTAGGCAGTGAAATGGAGTCTTTTAGTGTAGGGCCGTAGCTGCTATAGAAGGGGCTCAGTGCAAAAAGTTGTTTAGGGAACCAATTTTAAAATCACTAGGTAAGACGTCTTCATGTGTAAGACATTGAAATGAAAAATTCTTATAACATTTTGCCTCATTAAAGCTGAGTTGGTCAACTTTTTTACCACAAAAAATTGAACTATGTAATTACAATCTATGTACGTATTTGTGGCCTCTGTCATATCTCCAAATCATCTCTCACTGCCGATGTGTCCTTAGGCAAAACACTTCACCCACATTTCCTAGAATGAGCCTGGTGTGTGTGTGTGTTACTGCTGGTGGTGGGAGGCGCTGATGGCACAGACTGGTTGCCTCGCTTTGTCAGTGTGCCCCAGGGCAGCTGTGGCGACAGTAGTATTTTATCACCACTGTGAATGGACTGAATGAATACCATTTTTAATATTTACTAAAAACACATTACAGATAATATACTATAATATACAGATACAGAAATGTAAAAACCCAACTTTTTCTCAGAGTCGTAGCATCGGGGCCCCCTTTGTGAACGCACCCCCCTCCATACATGTCCCTAGCTTTCCCCCAGCTAGCCGCGCCCCTGCTCCTTTGCACCGGGGCCTGCATGCAGAGCAGAACGCTGTGTGGCTGCTTGAGTAATTTATCATGTTTCCGGATGACGAGCCAAGCTGTCCTCCTCTGCGAACGCTCTCATACGCCTTATGGTTTGGAGGTTCCCGGTGATTCGGCTCAGAAGCACCCACTCATCCGTCTACTCTCGTTCCGGTTAGCTGCCATATGGGCTGAGTTATGTCTGTCTGATCCAATGCCGGTGATTGCAGCTCGTGTGGTTCAGGTAAATTGGAGTTGCGTCGGAGTTTGGAAGCAGATGCAAAGTGTGTCGGCCGCGGTTATGTTGTGTTGTTGTCAGTGTTGGCGGTAAATAGGCTCATGAAGTAGCTTAAACTTTGCTCAAGAAATGATAAATCAAAGTGACAAGATGATGATGCTTTGTCTCCCAATTTAGCTTTTTGTCTGGAAAAAGACAAGAGTGTGTATTGGTTAATATAGTAAAAGTTTAGCTGATACTTTTGTCTGAGCCGTGTTCTCACTGCATACATTTGTGGTCCTTGGAACTGATAAAAAAAACAGGACATTTTTGGTGTTGGCAAGTTAATCAACACAAAGGCAAGCAAAAACCAAAACCCATTTTCTCACATTTAAGAGCTCCTGTATAGTGGGAAAATAAAACATAAAATCTTAATAACTAAAAATTACACAAATCTCTAACTTCTGGTATAATAAAGAAGCAAGTATAAAATCTCTTTAGCATCATAAAGAATCTGTGACTTCCTGTTACTTACACGTCAATAAAAATGATTCTGAATCCATGACTACATGAGCTAATACTTTGTCGAACCGGTTTAGGGGGATCATTCTACAAGCTTTGCACTTCTAGAGACTGAAAGTTTTGCACATTCATCTTTCATCAAAACGAAAGACTTTGAACAGCCGCTTTTCACTGAGATTCAGTTTTGGACTTGGACTGCAAAAAGTGATGAAAAATATGTAAAAGATTGGTCAAAAATGAATCTTAATTTGATGTTGACTTTAATGTGGACTTTTCCAACGGGACAAAGCAAAATCATCTAGTTTTAAAAAGACACAAGAAATGTCTCCCTTGGAACGAGAAAATAAAGTAACAGTTCATTAAATAAGACATAAATAGCTTAGTCCACATTAGCAAATTGTGTTTTAAAAGAGTCAGAATGTACTGAAGCCAAAAAAACTTGATTCAAGAATTTATTACCTCATATTTTATTGTTTAGACTAGCAATCTCCAACCTTTTGTAGCGCTATCTAGAATAGACTGGCAATTATGGTATTTAATTCAATTCAATTCTAATAACTGTATTTATCCGTGAGTAACTTTGCAGACAGAACTCCAGTGGGGATGCATAAAAACACAGAAACACAAGATACAAAATACAATAAAAGTATATTTAGTTAATGTTGGACCGATATCCAGTCGATCGTGTAGTGCCCATGTCTTGCCTGTCTCTCGGTTGACCAAGTGTTGAGGGGGTGGACAGAGACCTGGCGGGTTCCCATCACCACTGAAACCTCTCCTAATGAGCTTCTGGCCTGGAAGCGCATGAGGCTGTGCGAGATTTACTGATGGAAGGAGACGGGCGACGGCGAGAGTGCGAACTAAAGAGTGCGGAGAATGTAAAGCCCAGGGCACAGCAGGAAACCCGGCGCGGAGATGTGAGCCAACAAATGAGCTCAATAAAGCACACGCAGGGCCAGCTTCCTCCGGGGGCAGGATCCGTGTTCTTCCAGACAGGAGGTGACGAAGAGTGTGTGGCCATTGCTCATGCTCCGTGTCTCTGCCTCTTCATCGCTGTTTACTCCCCACAGCCAACCGCAACCGCCTCCCAGCTCCTGCTTCAGGTCTGATTTGTGATTTGAGAAAGAAAATATGTTCCTTCGCCTCAGTGGTAGTTTGAGTTCCCGACGTATAGTATTCAGATTTGTTTGTGTTGAACCTGCACAATACATATTTTTACATGTATCATTATAACAGACCAATAAACAGTTTGTGGCTGCTGTGTCTCTGTCGGTCTCATCTGTTTCTGTCTGTACCTGGTTCAAAAAGGGGTTGGATGATTTTTTTATTTTTTTGGATTCCTACCCCCATCACACATAAACTGTTTTAACAATATCATGCAGAGGAAGCCAAATTGCAATGGGCCTTTCCATTGTGAGTGTGTGTGTCTTTCTTTTGTGTGAGCGAGAGGAGTTGAAGCCCAATAAGCTCTGGCTTTGTCCAACCCCTTTTCAAACGGCATTTTTCAGAGTAAACTTCAGTACAAAATATAAGTTGGAAAAGAATACTTGCTTAATTCAAGAACAAAAGGGGGCCAAGGTCTGCCTTAAAATCTTAATTTGAAACAAGGAGTTTGCAGAGTGTCACTGAAACATATGGGGTAGGTTTACCTTCCTTCTATTGATAAAAGAGAATTGTACCAGCAATTCTGGATAATCAATTTGAGTCAATATTCAGTAAGATAATTAAAAGACATTCAAATCTAACTCATTCATAATATAACACGTTTTCTAATAGGTGTGGTGTGGTTTGTTGACAATATATTTGACAGTTGGGGTAAACCTCAATGATTATTCATGAGAAAAACCATTTGGTAAAGCTTTAACTTAAGGAAATGCAGACAATGTTTACAAGTGAAACCAATGACCAATGAAATAACCAGTAAATAATCCTATTTGATAACCCAGTCTTCCTGAGTGTGCTTCTGCATGTGTTCTGTGTGTGAAGTCCACATTGGTATTCCTCTCCCCTCTCTCCCCTCTCTCTCCTCTTCCCCCTTCTCCCCCCTCCCCCTCCCTTCTGTCTGAGTCTGTCTCACTGCAGGACCTGTGATTGTCTGTGGAGAGTCCCAGTAGAAATGGGTCACAGCGAGATCGCGCTTACACCAAATCCACAGAAAATCAATTCTCTTCATAAATGTTTTAAGACGCCACTTAGGGTTTGTAGAAGTTTTACACTAAAGCTCTTTTCAAACACAGTCAATTCGGCTGTGCAATATTTACTACTTCAATTTTTGCCCATGGTTTACCCACATTTTAGCCACAAACTTATATCAAACCATATTTAGTCACAAGATCATTTTGCTTTTCCCATTGGCCAATCTTGTTAAGGTACATTTTGCCAAATTTGTGCAATTTTGTATCTATTTTTCTTCATTGTTTGCAGTGTAAAAGCTCTCACATCTGCCATTTCAGTTCCAAGTTGGTGAAATAACACGCAATGGCCGACAGTCCGTTCTGTGGCCTGAATACAGAACCTAAGCCTCAGTAGAACGCTTCGTGCAAACACAGGATTTTCAGCCTGAACAGTTCACGTTGCATCATGTTTGTGTTCACGCAGCTGGAAGGCTGAGGTCTGCGGGGTTTCTGTTCTGGGAGGAGAACGCCGACAACCTCAGCACAATCCTGTCCACTAGATTTAGCTCATTTTAGATGCTTTTCTCTGTCAGGGTGAGCGGTAAAACTATATCACATACATACATACATAAATTGTATTGATATGATGGATTTTTGCACGTACGTTTGTCATTGAAAACATATAATCTGGATGTCATTTTTTCTTATTTTTTCAACCCTCTCCCAACTTTCATTAGGCTAGCCCCATACGACAAATACCAGATACTTGGATAAAAGTAACAAATCTCTAGGTAAAAACATTCATATTTATTCGTAGAAATACATACTTTTTGTTAATGTCATTATTGAATTAAGTATGTCAGGCTGAAACATTCCTCACTTTCTCTTGCATAAATCTGGAAAATCAATCTATTTTGACAATGACATTCCTTCTAAAACTAAGTCAAACATTCAGCCCTAATCGCATAAAAAAAACACCAAGTCATATCGACTCTCTCTGCTGTTCACATAAACACACCGTGAAGCAGGACTGTTCTGGAGGTCTGCAGCGGATAGAGCCGTGTTCAAATATCAGTCTATAACACTGACCCCAGCGCTGTGTAGGCCTCAGAGCTAAAATACATTGAGAAAAGTAGTTTTATATTTTTAGTTTTATACACAGAGAGAGATAGATAGGTCGATAGGTGGGTAGATAGATGGACAGGTAGGTAGGTAGGTGGATAGATAGGTGATAAGGCAGCTAGATTGGTAAGTAGGTAGGTAGATAGATAGATAAACAGATAGGTAGTTAGGTAGGTAGGTAAATACAGATATGTAGGAAGGTAGGTGGATAGGTAGGTAGATGGATAGATATACAGTAGGTAATTTGGTAGGTAGGTAGATAGATACAGATTGGTAGAAAGATGGATGGGTAGGTAGATAGGTAAGTAGGTAGGTAGATAGATACAGATACTGTAGGTAGGAAGGTACGTGGATAGGTAGTTAGGAAGGTAGATGGATAGATATACAGTAGGTAATTTGGTAGGTAGGTAGATAGATACAGATTGGTAGGAAGATGGATGGGTAGTTAGGTAGGTATATGGATAGATAGGTAATTTGGTAGGTAGGTAGATAGATACAGATGGGTAAGTAGATGCAGATAGGTAGGAAGGTGGATGGGTAGGTAGGTAGGTAGGTAGGTAGATCGATACAGAAAGGTTGGAAATTAGGTGGATTGGTAGTTAGGTAGGTAGGTAGGTAGATAGATACAGATAGGTAGGTAAATACAGATAGGTAGGTAGGTAAATACAGATAGGTAGGTAGGTAGATAGATACAGATAGGTAGGTAGGTAGATAGATACAGATAGGTAGGTAGGTAGATGGATAGATATACAGTAGGTAATTTGGTAGGTAGGTAGATAGAAACAGATTGGTAGGAAGATGGATACAGATTGGTAGGAAGATAGATACAGATAGGTAGGAAGGTACGTGGATAGGTAGGTAGGTAGGTAAGTAGATAAAGATAGGTAGGTAGATAGATGCAAATTGGTAGGAAGGTAGATGGATAGATGGGTAGTTTGGTAGATAGATAGATAGATAGATACAGATAGGTAGGAAGTTAGGTGGATAGGTAGTTAGGTAGGTAGGTAGATGGATACAGATAGGTATGGAGGTAGGTCGGTAGGTACTAACCCCCTCATAGGATAAATTCAGGTGTCCAGTAGCAGTAACACAACATCTATACAAACATAAATAAATCCATAATTATACATTTCTTACAATAGTAATAAAGTGCACATGTGTAGCTCAGTCGTACAGTCAAATAATTTCATTTTATTGTCACGGTTTGCTATTTGACATTCTCTTCAAAAGCATGAAACAAATGTACATCATTGACCTATTTAAAAACCCAACCAGACTCCGGTCTCACTGCGCAGGAGCTGATGATGATGAGGCCCATAACCACAGGACATTTGCGTCAGGACTCGGAATACAGACGGATCCAGAGAAATGGGCTTAATGGGAACATATCATGGGTTTGTGGAGCTGCTGTATTTCTGTAGATTTGACGGATTGTCTCTGTGTGCTCTGTAATTATGGGAGTGTGCAGCTGGAGTTTGTTTTGACACAGAATTAACATGATTGTCAGAGTGTGTGGGAGTTAATTGTGTTTCTATACGTAGACGAAGATGCACGAAACCGTTAATTAAATCGCACGCAGACAAAATGTGCATGTTACGGATGCTGATTTTGATTTTCGAAAGACGTTTTCAATGCTTTTCCTTGTTTTGTTCAGACTGAGAGAACACATTTGCTTTCATGTTGTTTTTATATTTCAGTTTTAGTGAGGAAAAAACACCCTGGTTTACCACAATTGTTCACCAGAAAACAGTGAAAATCTGAATTAATTTTCGTTACCCATTTCTTACATTTATACCTCTATATTACAGTTATACACCTGCTTCATCAAATCAAACCTTCTTCATGAGAATGGACCTTTTTTTGCAGTGAAAGTCCATTGTTTGAACATAATTGATGTATTTAAGCTCAAAAATATATCCGGATCATCAACGTTGAGGTCTTGCTTTTATTCTAAGTCTGAATTAAATGAAATATCTAACCCAGGGATGTCAAATCGGTCCTCAAAAGTTCCGTGTGGCTGCAGGTTTTCATTCCAACCAAGCAGGAGCACACCAGACTCTACCCGGTTCCTCACAGGAGTCCAGTCTGATCCTGGAGACTCAAGGAAATGGGTGGAGTCTGCTCTGCTCCTGCTTGGTTGGAATGAAAACCTGAACAAACTTTGGCCTCTTCTGGAACCAGATGGACACCGCTGTTGTAATACTGTAGATATTTGCAGATATTTTGCAAGTATTTATTTATTTTTAATTTTGTTTTCATGTATTTCTGTGTCACATGGAGGTGCGTCGTCTCTCTTCTATTTGGATTTTTGTTCTTTTGACAATTTGGCCAAAATACCTCCGTGTTTGAAGAACTCTTCTACAAGGCCAGTTTGTCCTCTTCCGTTTGTGTCTTGTCTCTGTTCACATAATCTTCAGAATATTTCAAGACTTTGTTTTCTACCTTTTAAACCAAAAGCTACTGCATCTGAATACGTTGAATTTCTCCAATCCATAAATTTGACTTTAAGGTGTTAATTGATTTTCTAAAACATCTTCTGAAACGTCTATATTCTGAAGTCAAAATCAATACTAAAGGGCATCATATTTAGTTTAGTTAATTGTACTGGGAGTGCCGGCGGCTTCTGTTCATTTGAAAGCGTTGTCATTGTTTTTTACTGCTATTAAAAAGATAAAGATTCCCAAGGACGTCCCGCCGTAGAGTAAACTGAGGACCTGGCAGAGAACAGTGGCTCGTGGCCAAAACAGCACTAGTGGATTCTGGTAATAATGGGTTTTCGCTTAAACATGGTCCAGACTTTGGCATTTCACGCACTAAAAACAAAATATGTTTAAAACGTACTTGATGGATAAATAGAAGTTCTTATAAAAGAC